AAACTCTCCAACAAAAACAGGCTGCTTTTTTCAAGATGATAAAATTCAAGTGCTATAGCATGGGAAAGAATTCAAAAACCACGCATGGAACCATACCGTGAAACAGAAACAGAGCACTGTTTTGAGCAGCTCCTTTGTAGAAGTCCTGCCAATATTATAATTTTTAAACATCATTCCAACTGAAAACAAGGGATAGATAATATTTTAAAAAGTTTGTGCTTTCAAAGAGAAACATAATTTTTCAAGAACAAGGTGTGATACAGCTCAAAAATAGAGCTGAACTATTCCTCCCTGACAGATTCAAACACCAGCAGGCTTAGACCACCAAACGCCATGCGCTACAGCAAAAGACAAGGAACATACTTAAGACACTCAGACTAATACCATTAAAATGAAAGTCCTCAGTGGTATTTGCAAGGATCTGTTTTTATTCTTTCCATATGATCTCAGTTTGAGTCAAATTAGACCATTCAATGCGCTAATTAGGATTCAGCAAATGTTACCTACTTCGAAGAGGCTGATAAAAGCCAGCCTCAGAGAAATGCTACATTGTCCACAAGTCATCTCAGCAAGTTGTGCTACTAGAAGGATTCCTCACCTTCACAAAACTTTCCTCATTACAGGTACAGAGCAATTTTTGATCAACAACAACTCATCTCTCTCCACTCCCAATAGAGCACACTGGTAAAAACTCTCCAGCATGTGCTACAGACATTCAACCATCTCCACAAGAAGTTTAACTTCGCATCCCCTACACATATTAGCTTAAAAACCCATTACTGAATTAAGTACTCATCAACAAACGCTAACCACACCTGTAATGCCCTGCATGAGGAAGCTTTCTGAGTTTGGGGCAGGTGATACTGTGAAAGGCACATGATAAAACACACAGCCACGCAACCCATAGTTATCACTAAGGCACCAGCATGGGTGAATGAGATGTTATCACTTAACATCATCATCACAGTAGCACATAAGTAAATTATCAAGTTACCCATTGTCAAAATGGTACCTTCTACACTTTCAGTGCTCACAGGTGTCTGCGGAATTACACAAACTCACTGCAATTAATTATGACATTTGATAGAGGGAATACAGCTCAATAAATATGTTTACAGCACATTTCAAAAACTTCATAGGCTCTATTCTGTTCTGCTATTTGAACTAAAACATGAGTTATAAGTCTAATTCTCTTCCCCCTATAGCTGATATTGGATAATCAAGAATTAACTACATTTATTTAAAGGGATGAAATGGAAGTAACTTAAATCAATTTAAAAAGAAGGATTAAAAAAACAGATGCTAACTGCATTTTATCTTTCCACACAAAACATAATACACCAACAGAATCAAAAGTAAAAAGCTACAGGAGAGGAGTAAAACAGAAACTTCTGCTTTTACTATTTACAACTCAAGAGGTCAGTTATCCAAGAGATCCTAAGTTATAAAGCAGGCACTTATAGTAACTACATATCCCAGTCTTTGGCATCAGCACAATGAAAGCCGTTAATGTTGAAGTTTTGTCCAAAAAAATAAAAGAAATAAAGCTTCTCACACCAAAAGTATTTGGAGATTGAAAACTCATTGAAGAAGCGAGTGACTTTTTAAGAACTGATTAATAGCACTTTTATATAAAACTTTCCTCCTAGCTAAGACTTCATTTCATAACAATAAAAACATCAGGTGAGAGAATTCTATTTAACCAAAACAGTAACTGAAAGTTCTTGTGATTTTGCTTTTTTTGATTGTTTTTTTAAATACCATCTCTGATAAAGCATAATCAAGGAAAACATTAAAACAAATGGCATTATAACTGAAGTTTCTGGATTTTGTTCAGCATTTTAAAGAGTTATGCTGCTCGAAGCCAAAAATGTTTTACATTTTTTAGAGACAATTTGTGCTTCATCTGGGCATCCCTCAGAAAGGCAATTCAGAAATGTCTTTTGACCTTCACATAGCACAAAATGAAACATATTACACTAGCAGTTGATTGTGTTTGTGTTAGTTTGGATGTGATAATAAATGCAGTCTTGCAAAAAAATCTGGGAAACAGATTTTTAAAAGTCCTTCGTGGAACCTGTTTGACTGCACAGAACATACACATTTTGCCTCCATAATATACCACCATAGCACTTACAATTTGCTGCTCATTCATATTCTAACAGTCATAACAGGCTAAACACAACTTTACCTGGTACAGGAAATAGAATGTGTATTTCAAGGTCACGTCACTGTGTGAATCTTAAAACTACACAGCAGCATACACCATAAGGCACAGAATAACAAATTCACTACACTTCCCCTGATATTAAAAACAATTGTTCTTTAAAAAAGTAATTTTGAACAGTTGAAAGTGCAACACGGTTTACAAAATAAAGCTTAGATAACACCTGATGTATTTCTTAATTTTTTATTATTATTATTTAATCTTGCTCTGATAAGAATACACACACAACATTTCAGGAGCTTTTACCAAAAAGCAGCAAAAAGCACCTGGTTGCTTTTGTTCAACATTTCCAAAGAGCAACAGAGCCCTCTAGTGAAACAATCAGAAAGCGATATCGTATCCGTACAAGAAGCAGGCCAGAGAACTACTGCCTCTTCAACCTTCCAAAATTTAAAAATTTAAAAAAGAAAACAAAAAAAATGTTTCACTGATAACTCTTGATCTCCTATGAGCTCCTTGTACTGTAAGAACAAAGTAACTCTTTAGCCATCGTCAAGTCGCTAATGAAAATGAATTGCATATGTAATGAAAATTAATGGCATATGTATAATTCTGTATTTTCTAGCACAGGGAATAAGCTCCAAAATTGCTTAGACTATGCTCAAGGTAGTATTTCCACATTAGTATTTCCACATATTTACACATTCAAATTAGTATTTCCACATGGATGACTCAAGAACAGTACACAGACATACTAAAGCCCACACGGATCTCCACACTGGAATCCATTACACAACAGACACGTTCAAAGTATCTGTGTGACTTTTAGCAAGCTAACATAACAGACATAAACCCCAGAACTGCTTTCTTCTTAAGCCTTGCTCCAACAGCAACCAGTAAATAACATCCAACAAGAAGACTGGACCTACTGCAACACTAACTGCAACATGTTATGCATGAGCTGAATTATACAGGCCATAACACCATCTTAATCAAATATATTTACTACATCAGCTTCATAGTTCTGTACTCTCTATGTCCCAGCTTCATAAAGAAGTACATGCCTAAGGCTTATTTCATTAATACTTCAGCTTGTGGTATGCATTTGGTCTTGGTATGGTCTTTGGTATGCATCTGACATGGGGTAAAACTAAAAGTGTATGCAGTACACAGTAAGTCTGTGTCAGTAAACTGTAAGAGTGCATAAGCATAAACACACATGCACACACACAGGGCTGAACAGTACACAAACTCCTGTGTAAATGTGCTTACATGCATTAACTTTAAACTGAAAAAAAGAACAGGTCAAAAAAGAAAAGAAAAAAAAAAAAAATCACATGCATACTACCCAGCCAGCTGATGAATTAACAAAGAAAGCCAATAAACAACAATTCTTTGTTACTTCAGATGCTCATTTTACAACGTGTTCCTATAGTCAATAGTTTTGCCTGTGAACAAGACCTGATGCAAGGATAGCTTGCTTGTGATCACTCCAGACTATGAATTAAGGGAGAAACCAAGGAAAAAGCCTTGACCAAAGCATCATACACCTTGGATTAATCTTTCACCATCTATGAAACAACTTAGCTCATTCAGCAAGTCTGAGCAGCAGCTCTTCTCCTGATGAAGCTCTCATTCTTAAGTGTTCTGAAACTGCACAGTTGTACACAGAGCAAATTCTGCAGCTGGATACAGTTTCAAGACATTCTGTACTAAAAATGCAGAGTGTAAATCTTATAGGAAAAAACACAAACTTTTTGTGGATGCTTGCTGCACTAACTGCAATACTAATCTACAGGACTATAACAAGGACTACAAGATATGTGCACAAACTGCTAACTAAAAAAAAGCTTTAAATGTTCCATCTGGTACTTGTCAGATAACACTGCTTTTCCAGTGTTCTTGGATATATGTCAGTCAAGATCCTACTCTAAAAAGTTTGCATAAGAGTTTTCAATATTCACAAGGTCCCACCACGAAGAAAATGGAAAAAGTACAGTCCTCATAAGTGGGGAAAAAGTGTTATCTAGGATCTAGGTGAATCCTAAGTTTACCTAACATGTTCAAATCTGACACCAAACCACACTGATGGTTCTTGTACTTGTGGCTCCTCCTTTGCTGAGGGGAACTTCAAACAGCCTAGCAAGTTGGAGAAGGAATTCTCTTTCCTCAGAACAGCCCCAAGAGCCAAACTTCAGGACAAAAATAAAACAAAAGCAGCTATATAATAGCTGCTCTCAAATACTCACCAACTACAGGAATAACATTACCTAACAGATATTTAGACGGGACGCACGTCTAAAAGGATTTATGAACCAGCTAGAAAATACTAAGAGAACACAGACGTTCCTTTTTGCCTCAAACAATCAACCATTATAGAATTCTAACACAAGTTCATCATCAGGCAGAACATATCTCCAGAGATAAAGATCCCACAGTCTCTGCAGAAAATCTTTACCTGAGTTTACTTGTTGCCATTAGAAAGTTTTTCCTCAATATTTTGTCTGAACTCCCTTGCAGCATTACAAGCCTTATTCCTACTTATTCCTACGACACTAAAATACTTCCATCGATATTTACTAGACCAAAAAATCAGTTGCTTCAAAACTTTGTCATCCACGTGGCTCTCCTCTAAGCTCCACATACACTGCACTTCTATTACAAAAAGTACACAAGCCTGAACAAAGTTTACTGTCTAGAGGCTTTAGATCCACACGATGTGAAACACATTCAAATACCACAAGCATACAGATATTTAGAAAAACTCATTATAACAAATTAGCCTGTAAGACAAAGATTGTCACACTTTACTGTATGTGTAATGGCAACCTACCTATTCCCGAATTTGCTCCTGTGATTATAACCACTTTTCCACTCAAGTCACGACCCTGAAGTATTTCCATCGCAGTACTGTTACCATCATATTTTTGTCTAGTAGGTGGCTTTACTGGATTATCTTCAACTGTAAAGGCCAATCTCGGATCCAGATAGGTAGTTCTTTTGTTTATGTGGCTGTAAAAGAACAGAAAAATTACACCACTTTGACCATACTGTACTTGCATATAATTTTGTGTATTTCAACCACTGTTTTGTACTATTCCAGTTTATTATTTAAAAGCCCCAAAGTCATTTTTTCCCCACTTTTGTTAAAATTATGCTAATTATTTTACTAGCTCTTTTTCTGACAGTGGCAGTGTCCATGAGGAAACTGTATACAGATCCACTACAATTTGATTCTGGAGCTGACACTCACATATAAACAGTATTTTCTCACAGGAAAAAAAAGATTACACTATATAGGGAATACTACCTTCTATACAGAGCTCTTCAAAAGGGACCTGTACCACTGCCTTGAAGCAATATGCCAACAAGAAATATAGCTCAGTACTTTTTTTCTTTTTTTCCATTTCTCCTTCAAACAACTGAAAACAATTAACTTCATATTAGCTATGTTAATGGCTTTATTTGGTCAAGTTCACCTTCCTGTAACACAGGTTAGCTTTCTTCAGACAGTTATCAGGAAGAGCAGTAACTTTCAGTCTTCAGCCCTTTGTAACAGGACAAAGAAGCTATGTGATTTTGGCCTGTAAATATTCTTAATTCTGCCATGTCAGTCTAAGATAACTATTCCTTTTGATCCTGTTCCTGAAAATACACAGGAAGGAATTGTTCTCAGAAATCTTTTCCTGCTTCTGTGAACCTCTCTCTCTTAGCCTTCTGAAGTTCTACACTACCTTAATTCTCATCCACTTTTCTTTCAGTTCTTCAGACTGCAATGAATCAGAGGTGCAGCAATTTTGTTTCCATCTTTTATCTTCAAAGCAGCATTGTAACCAAGTCATGAAGTTACCATTATGTTTTTGAAGTCACATGTTGCTGGTCCTTGGAAGCAGCGAAATTGCTTCTGGTAAGTTCTTTGCCACACTAGGCAGAGTCATTAGGAATATCACTAACGACATACAGGAAAAAGCTGACTCATCCAACTGGTGACAGGGTCCCTAGCTACAAAACACTTCTTAAGAAGTGGCCTTCTTCCTGGAGACGTCCCCCTTTTGGAGGCTAGCCCTTAAATGAGCCCAGGATGGATCCCTTCCAGTCATATGGGAAGGGCAGGCGAATTGTTTGCACCTGTGCTTACTGGGCCAGCTACTCCTTCAACAGGTGCTCAATCACTAGTTCAGGTCATGGCATAACAGTTCTCTTGCACATGCAGAGTGTGTTGGTGAAGTTAAATAAACTGAATGCACCTACATAAACATTGCCTGAAGATCCATTGGCAATTTGTCACTTCAATCTGCCACCCAAGTTACTATTTCTACACACATGGAATTATTCAGTAAATCACAAATGTAAATTTAGAAGTTGCTAAATCCATAGTAATTACATACTGATTAAGTTTTATACATACTTTATAAGTTTTGCTTATAAATAGTGTCTCTGTATCATAACAAAAAAAGGCTACCCAGCCTAAAACAGCTGTTCTACTTCTCCATATTCTACATCTTTATAATACTTACTCTACGAAATAGACCTGTCCACTTTCATCAGTCTCCTGCTCCCATCCATACGGCAGACCTAGGAAAAACAAAAACATTACGTCCTTACAGGCATTTGAATACAATCAGATTCGAAGTTCCTGATTTCTCAAATAGATGTTGGCAACAGCTTGTGTTATTTCTGTAGGTAATTCAGGCTCCTGTTGCACTTAAATATTGGAACTTGAAAGGAGAGTTGCTTTCTTAATCACACACAATTTTTCTCTAAACTACAACCTAAAGAGCTTATACAATTGTAATGACCAGCATAGTAAGTAATTCTTCATACAGATTACATCATATTATAGCACAAAACAGCAAAATGTTACCATGGTTTCTAGTACATACATATACAGGTGTCTGTACACTTGTACACTAAACTGTATGGTTTAGTACCTAACCCTGATGAAGTAAATTGTCAAAACACTGAACTAAATGTAGGAAAAGTTATATACAACGTAACAGTTGGAAGACCAGAACCCTGGAGGAAGGAAGTATGGGATATGTTAGATCAAAGATGGAAAAAACAGACACTCAAGTACTGAACAGAGCATTTTCACAGCATTACTGAACATAGGTGAAACTGGTTGGTTATAATTGCATCAGTTCAAAATCTAGTAAGAACATTTAAGTTATAGTCCCATAAGCAAAACAAATATGGACTGTCAACACATTTTCCTTAGGGGCTTTAGTTCTTCTCCAGAATAACATAAGCAAAGTATAAGTCACAAAACCTCAACTGCATAGTAACAGCATCACCTGGTATGTTCTTTTACACTATGCTCCTTTTTCATTACCCAAACTAGGTATAACAGGGACTTTTATATTATTATCTATGTAGTATTAGTGTATTTAAAATATTAGAATTCTGCACCATTTATCCACTTACACAAAACATTTCAGATGAAAAGCTTTGTTTGCAATCTCTTTTTTTTAAAAAAACATTTAGTTAAGCTTTCTCTTCAAATATCCAGTCAGTCCTACTCAAAAATCCTACCAACGAATATAAGCTCTTCTTTTCTCCAAAGCCCATTCTAGCTCAGATAAGGTTAAGAGGTCATCATGAGGGTTTTTCCTGCTTCAATTCCCTGCTTCACAGAAGTATCCCTAAGTACACCACACAGAAGCTTCTGGGAAGATCTGATTCAAGGCCCTTGAGAAATCATATGGCTTTGGAAGAGCTCTGCAAGAATGGGTATCTTCTGTTCTGACACAAAAGTTCAACAGTTAGGGAAAATAAGAAAAAAGTGAGACTAATGCGACTTCCCTTTGTGCCAGAGATACGTGGATGGGCAGTTACAAATACTAAATACTGTATCTAAAAGACACTAGGACACAAGAATCCAAACTGAGAATCCAAGCCTGTGACAAGGCATTACTACAAATGCCTTCATTCTGGACTCAGTACTTTGTCTTTCTGGAACAATATAAGAAAGCCATACATCTGCAAAGCAAACCCTCTACACAGAAACAATCACATCAATCAGTAACACCCCATTGAAATCAGCTATATTTTCCAACCTCAGCTTGTCTAGGTGAGAGATCAATATAGCTCCTGCATAATCTTCAACTGATTTCTGTAACGTAATTTTACTTCATTACAAAAGTTTAACACAAACCTCCTGCTACACGTTTCCTCTTCCCAGACTTAGGATGTTCCCACTGTGTTTTTTCTTCCAGGTGACTGTAAGGAAAAAGAAAAAAAGTTTAAGTTTAAAAAAAAATTGTCTAATAATACTTCTTCTGGTAAAATTCAGCCTCAGGATGGGATCATTCTTAAAGAGTGCCCCGCTGAGAGCTGCTCAAGTTCCAAATAAAAACTGACAGTGTTATTGAGAGATACACAAATAATTGCTAGATCAAGTGCAACCAGCAACATGCACACCACATATGCAACTCTTCCTTCTTAAAAAACCACGCAGTTCACAGTGTTTTCTATTACAGAAACCACAGCTGGTGGTCTGAGATTCAGTAAGTGCCTGTTTGAGCAGCGCTCACACTTCAGGATGTTCTTATAGTACAGATAAATAAGATCCTGCTGTCTGATATGAATACATCACCACCTTATAACACCACTTAATATTTTGTTTATTTGTTAGGCTAAGTATCATAGCTTAAGAAATGCGTGCCCACCAAGCTTTGGTAACCAGCTAGGCACAGAACTGACTCATCGCAAAGAGCTTTAAAGGCCTTAAACCAAAATATTCCTATTCCAGTTTAAAGTTCGTGTTGTTAATGAGGCATGAAAACAGATGTCCAGAGTTTGCAGAACTAACACAGGTGTAGAGCATGCACTGAAAGCAGCAGTACTGCAACACTTCTTCATCCTAACTATGTTTTAGACGCACTGGGAAGCATTCTCAGCTAGTAAGGATGCATCACACCACTGATGTAAAGGGCATTACTTCAGTTTCACCACTGCTAACTAACTACATACAGCTGAATTAACTGCACAACAAGCACACATCCCAAGAAGGAGCATTTTATTATTCTGTAGGTTGGCCAGTTTCTGCAAGCCATTTATTTTTCAAAGAATTCTTGACATCAAAATAAACGTACAGGAGATGGACCCAAGACAAACAGACACCTACAAGTCCGCAGTGTTTATAAACAAGGCTTCAGATAAAAATACCTGAATTGGGAATCTGCATCACAGAGAACCATTAAGGGTGCAAAAGAACACTAAGATGGCCCAGCCCATCTCTAACGAACGCCCACTAACCTTGTCCCTCAGTGCCTCTCCTGCCCGGCTTCCAAACTCAGGGGATGAAGTCAGTTCAGCACAGGTCTGAGCTGTGCTGAGCCTACACGACACTTCCCCTCTTCCTGAGGAAGAGAGTAACCCTTTAAGGGCTAAGAGGCTTTAAGGCTACAGAAACCACCAAAGAGGAAAAAAGACACAAACGCAAACCCCAGTCAGTGAGCCGCCTTGCAGCACACCCCTTCTGTAAGCGGCGAGGACGCCGCAATCGTCAGTGACACAGCAGATGGTGCCAAACGCAAATCCGAGCCGCAGCACGCGGAAGAGCCCAAAGAGCGCGTTTATCGCGTTCAACTCGCAACGCGCGCGTTTCTCTCCTACTCCTGCACAGAGGAAAGCTAAAAAGCGAACTGCACCGCTGCACGCGGGACCTCCCGCACGCGGAACAGCCTCAGCGCGCGCCCTTCACACAGAGCGCGGCACGCGGCGGCCCCCGCACCCCGCGCTCCCGGGTCAGCACCGCTCGCTCCCCACAGAGGTTACCCGCGGGCACGGGGCTGCAAGCACGGCACGGCACGGCCCCCCCGCCTTACTTGGCGTAGTAAACCCAGCCGTCCTTGGTGGTGCGCTCCTCCCAGCCCGGCGGCAGCTCCTCCTCGCTATCCGTGTCCTCCAGCCCCGCGTACTTCAGCGCTGCCATCGGGACGGTCGCTCCGCACAGACCCGCACGGCTGCCGCCCGCCGGACCGCGGCCGCCCCCGCACCGCCTCTTCCGGCCGTCTCCGCCAATGGCGCGGCGGCGCGGCCCCAGAGCACCATGGGAAACGCAGTCCGAGGCGGCGGGAGCGCTCCTCAGGTGTGTCACTGAGCCGCTTTCTCCTACGGGACCGAGCTGACATCTTTAAGGACGGCACCAAAAAAAAACAAACTTAGGTATTGGGGGACTGAAGCGTTCGTAGAGAGGTATGAGCCCCACAAAGCTCCAGAAAGCAAGGAAAAAGGAACAACTCTTTAAGCTCTGTGCTGTTAGTGGAGGGTCACTGCGAGGATCGGAGCACTGCGCGCTGGTGAGTTGGGATTAGTATTTATTTCCATTTCATAGCTAATGTGCAGCACCCTGCTTGTGGCTATGACAGCTGACCACAGCCCTTGTCCGTTCCCGTTACTCAGTGCGCCCCCTGAACTGCTCCTGACCCCACACACACGCGCTGTCATATTCGCATCTATTTATATAATAACCCAACCGAGTCGAAGCTTCTGCAACAGCATCTTCCCGCTGCTCCTCCAGCGGCTGTTTTACACAAACCCAGCGCTGAAGAGAGGCTGTAACCTCGGGAAGCAGCGCCAGGTGGCAGTGCAGCCACAGCAATGTGCAGCAGGGCTCTGGCTTCCATAGTTAACGTTCTAATGCACTACTTGAGATACTGACCTACCTGGTTCCCTCCCAACTTACTAACAACACTCTTACCCGTCTACAGAAGTACCTTGAACTTGTTTCTGCCCTACTGCTCCCATTGCATTGAGAGCTCCTCTGAGAAATTACACCTAGTAAATCATCCTTTTCTGCTAGGGATAAAAAACCACACTCATGAACAACAGAGAGCTCCCATGCAGGCATAACTGAGGGTATTAAAACAGGCTGTAACCATACTCTTTAGGGTTAAAAAAAAAAAAAAAAAAGAAAGAAAGAAAATTGGAACGGGAAATTCAGTGGCATATTCACTTCCGGTCCAGGAAGCTTCCAAAATATTTCTTAGGTGACTGAGAATGTGGTAGGGCACAAGAAAACAGATTAAATCGATATTTAAAACACAAAAAGAGTAATAATTAGTATAGTAGGCAAAGCTATTGTTGGGTTTTCTCCTGTTGCAGCCTCTTAGTGCGCAGTATCCAGCACTGCATGAACTGTGCTCTATGGGAATGTTGAAATCATTGGTCTGCTGACATCCCAACCGCGTTGCATAAAGTATGCGTTACATCCTAAATGTAAACAACATCTCTGCAGTATTTCAGTGCTATGGGGACACTGTGTACTTTTGACTAGAAAAATCAAATCTTAGAAGTAGGCGTGTTATTCAACATCCATATAATGCATTAAGGTGCACCAATGCCTTTGCTGTAACAGTACTTATGCTGTGTGTGAAAAAGCTAATTCTTGGTTTGGTAAAGCAGCCCGGATATTTACAAACTGTCTTGAATGTCTGCACTACATGAGTCATATGATACCACAGTAGTCATGGGCTTATATTGTTTGTTTCTACAAGAGCATTTGAGAAACCACACAGGTTCCTCTTTGAAGCTTCGGAACTGACAGACACTCACAGTAGTTGTAATACTTTTCACAGATTACTCTTCTCCTCTAGTTTTAACTACTTCCTACCTTTCAGAAGGGTTTCACTGGGAAGAAAAAAAAAAAAAAAAAAAAACACACAACTTTCTATAATTTGTGACTCATTTACTTAATTTTTTTTTCAAAAAAATGCTGAAATACAACCATGTATTTCAATTTCAAATTCTGGCAAGGGGAAACAATCCACTCTACTTGAAATCCTCTTACTTGCTTTAAGAGTCATATTATAGCAATCAGTGCCTCAGAGACATCATTCAGATCCACCAACTGTAGAAATACTGGATATTAATTCTTCTGATAATTCTAAACCTAGCAGACCAAGATTGATTCCACAGCCTGCCAGAATGTGGATAAAACAGGAAGGCATTTAGAAATGGTTGTTGATTTCACAATAGCATAAATGTCAATTGGAATCTTAATCTCATTTTATGTTAGCTGTACTTTAAATCTTCAAAATCAAATGTACTTGTTTTGTTTCTCTATGATAAGCTTAGGCATAAATTTGGTCATATATATTTACATTAGCAAGCCTAAGATAGCGAAAAAAATTAACATTTCTTTAAAGTTAGTTACAGACTCGTCTGCTTTGCTGAATCACAGCAATTGTCAAAGATCTGAGTACTGATAGATCTGATAATTATTAGAGCACTGAGAGATAGATGGGCAAGAGAAAAGTGATCATGATATTGCAAAAGCATCCAGATAACTCAACAAAATGTTGTTTCTCCCCTTTGATTGAGGATGTGTCTGTTTTTTAGAAGCCATGATTTAGGAATATCATGGATTTCTGAACAGCTCTCAGATCATAGTTTTTCAGCAGCTGCTAAAACATGTTTGCATAGGCTGCAGCTGTTTCTTTTCAGATGAGAATTCTGCCTCCATGACTCATGCCTTTCTAACCTCAGCATTAGACTAAGGCTGTGCTCTGCATGATCCATTAGGACATGATAAATGAATATTTGAGTTGCTGCACAGTATGGATGCACCACATCCTTCAAGTGAAAGAATTAGTATTTGTTCCTTGGATGGAGGCAAACTCAGCTCTACATAAAATATAGAGAAGGTCACTATTTTCCCTCAAGTTTTGAGAACTGTTTAACTTTTGAAATCCTTATGTTTTTACTCAAGTTAATTCTTGTAAATTTCAATAATTTCATCCTCCTTTCTTACATCTAAAAACATTATTTTCAGTATGATTTCATAGTTAAAGGGATTCAAATAGGCCTTCTTTTTGACAGTCTTCTAAAAACAACCTATGCATATGGAAGCTATTAACAACACCAATGTAGAAATTGCAGAGTTGGAATCTTTGTCATAAGTGTTTCTGTATCTATAAAATTCTTATGTTGTAGCACAACAAACATTTTCATTCACTCTTGGTTTTATGACCTCGTTCCTTGAGTTCAGGGACACTACTCACATCTGAAGTTAAATATGGACACCATCAGACCTGGAGGACATAGGAGAACATCTGGTTCAGTTTTCATTAGCCCAGCTCCTACCTGAAGCAGTAACAGGAAAGCTGAAGTATGCGTGTGCAGCATTACTGGAGGTGGGAGACAGGGAATTACCAGTGTATTTTAAAATGAAGATGCACGTTATATCTGACCACAGACATTAAAACATGGAGTTTCCACTGTAAGAGATTTAAAAGCATTCAAATGATTTGTATGTAACTACTCAAAAAAAAAAAAAAACCACAAAGAGATGGAGCACAATGAAAAGAAGATAGAACAGTAATTGTAACTGTTTATAAGTATTAATTACCACTACGCTTCCTGAAACAAATGAGGTATCACTTGTGATTATCTGGTTTCTAATGAGCTTCCTCACACTCATAACAGTGGATGCAGCCTATGGACAGTGCATGCAGTTCAGACAGCTGTTGTTTAGATTGAATTTTCGCATTTTACTTGAAAAATGCTTCACTCCTAATAATTGTTCTCTTAAAATTCCTTCAACACAGCAGCTCAGGATAACTAAGTAGCCACATGCTCCTTCCCTTTTTCTTGCAGATTAATGACCAGAGTTGTCTTATTTATGAAAGCAACATATTGTAAGTACAGAGCACTGAAGATGGCATCGTCAGTTTACAGCAGCACAGAGAGAAATGTATTGTTTAAGTGCAGGGCTGAGAAGATCAAGAGGGAAAGATGTTCTGCTAAAGAAAACATTCTATTCTTTATAGGACACTGCTGGGGAAAAAACAGAAGTCCTACAACAACAAAAAAAAAAAAAAAACACTTTCTGATAAATTTTACAGAATTATTATAGCGGATATGGTTCTTTTTTCCTTCGGCTGACTGCTGCATTATTTCAAGGAAAAGCAGCACTAAGCTGCCAGAAATGTCAGTGCAGTATGGATTGCAGTAAGTTTGCTCTGAGAAATCTTGAGCTGATACTGATCTTGCTTAAACTATTGATAATAGACAGTGACATTTTACTTACGAGATGTTTGTGTCCAGCTTATTATAAGTCTTTCTACATTCCCTTTCAGTTACCTTTAAATGATAGTGCATTGTTTTTCTGTTTAAACAACCTGCTTTTGTTTCCTTCTCTCCCCGGATCTCCAACAGTTATCCCAGCATAGCACATCACACCTGGTTTGTGGTAATACACGTTATTTTCTTAATGAGACTGTGGGAATTCTTGCTTAACACATGCTACGTGCAATCATACAAAATATTTAGAATTTGGTTCTAAAAAATGCTTTATCAACCTTCTCAGTTTATCCATACATTTGGCATGAGTTATACTGTGCCTCTTAGAAAAACATCCACAGAAGCAGGAGAAAGGGGCCAACTACCTAAATTCAGCTGAATTTCACCTATATGGAACATAACCTCCAAAAAAAGGTATTGTGCAAATCTTTTTGTAAGGCCATCTATAACAACAAAATCGTGGCAAAGCAATTCTTAGGACTTGTGTGGCCTGCAATGGGCTAGCCAGTCGGGATAGACATGATAGAAACGAGCCTCCATATAAGGCTTACTAAAGTTAAGAAGGGGTAAAGAGAAATACAGCAGCACAGACTCATGACAAACACTTGGTCTTAAAAGAACTGTGCTGATCACTAGTTATGTTTCTGTGTTTGAAGTTAGATGGTCTACAGTGCCACACAGCTGAAAATGTGTCCCATAGAGCCAGCCTTGTCATCTAAAAAAAAAAATAAATTAAATAGCATGAGGCCCAATGCATGTCCCTGAAGCATTTCATTGGGTACTTCTCCTTGGTGGACTATTATCTTCTTTTTATGATCCTTCAGCCAATTTTCATTCTGCCTGAAAATCAATCTGAGTTCACTAAAATGTTAGCAGTATATTCATTTGCATTCCTGACTTCTACTGATTCTGTAATTTAGTAACAAAAAAAATCCAGTCACAGTCACTTAATCTA